TTGACCCGACTGTCTGTTTGCTAGGTCTAAGTCTACAAATATATATTTATGAAAAAATACTAATTTATAGATATTTAAAATTTAAGAAAATAAACACTTAATATTTATCATAAGATATTTAAAAAGTTACAAACAAATATATTATAAATATTTAATTTAGTCTTTTGCATTCAAAATTATTCAATGGTCAACACTATAAAATTAACATACAAATTACTAAAAGCAACCTACATTTTATGTTTTCTTACAATAGGAAATAAAAATATATTTCAACTCATTTTTCCAATGTTTTAAAACCCGGCACGACCCGGCCGGTTTAACCGGTTCGACCAGGACCTGGAAGCTTCAACGGGCCGGGTTTATATTTTTCCTATTCACCCAAAACCCTAGGATTTGGGAGGATGATCGGCGAGCAATTGACGGTCGGGATGTTAGGGCTTCTGAAGAGAAAGTGCCAATGAATGTAATGGTGGTGATGGAGTTGATTTCCAGTGAGTAAATCGACTGGAAATCGAACAAAACTGGCAACGACAACAACTAGCTTTTGCCGACGATTGGCGAGGTTAACGGGGGTGGGGTGAGGTGGGTTTTGGTCGGGAGCAAGAGGGGAGTAATTCCTAGGTGATGGGGAGGGTTGTTGAATCCGACGTCGATGAGATCTGGCCGAAATCGAACTTATTTCGGCCAGATCTTGGGTAGATTTTAAGGGGAATGAGCTCAAGAGATGATTGGGGTTGCATCTGGGGTGTCGTCGCCACTAACCAGTCGCTGGCCGATTTGTATTTGGGGTGTGTTTGCTATATTTCAAACCTATACGGACTTAACGAGTTTTTAGGGGTGTATTTGCTAAATTTTAGAAGTTTTTGTCAACGGGTCAACCTGGGACCTAACAACTTTGCCGGGTTTCATCCCGGGTTGGTTTTAAAACATTGATATTTTCATTTACAACACAAAAGGAAAAAAGAAAAGAGTTGATAAATTAAGTGTTGTAAAAATCTCAAAAAGATCCAAAACAATAATAAATAATGTAAGTTGGCCTGAACAATTCCTATCATTAATATATATATGTTGAAATACACGTAATGGCCGGACCACCCCATGCCTTAAAATAATAATAACAATAATAACAATAAGAGTAAACAACATGTTCCTACTCGAGGTTAAGCGAAATGACAAGTTTCCACCCCTAATTTCTTTTATTCCAGATACCCACCCTTAAAGTAACACTGTTAATGACAGTTTGGATTCTGACATGCGTACACAAATGCTATTACCAAACTACCCTTCACCCCATTCCAAACCACCACTACAACCGGCCAAAACACCCATTTCCAATCCACCACTAGGGCAGGCCTACCTTACAAAGCAACACCCATATTCCTCTCCAAAACAACACCCACCATGAAGTAAATCAACCCAGCACAAATACATGCAAATAAACCCAAATCCACACCAAAAATGACATGCGATTCGGATGGCTATTAACGTAACTCACACTCATTTACAAGCAGAGATGAAGTTGTCAGTGATAGCTTGTTAGTGGCGTTCAGCTCAATCAGCGGCATTATTCTAGCAATGCCTTGTCTTCTCTTTACATGAATTGAACAGATGAAAAGTTTCTGGGTGGTTGGGGATTCTTTACGAACAGGGGAGGGGCAGTGGTGAAATGGCTGGTTGAGGACCTTTGGCGAATAGGTGCTGGGGGCAGTGCTGGGTTTGGGAAGGTGAGAGGTGTTCGATGGTGATGGGTGGCAGTACGGTTTTTCACGAAAAAAAAAAAACCTTAAAAATTTAAGAATTAACAACCAAACTTTGTTCAATCCAACAGCCAAACTTCATCAAACCAGCAACCACAACCAAACTTCGATTCTTTCTTAACACAATCAACACAACACACAACAATCATCAATCAAAAAATTATATCAAAAAAGCAATAAACATCATGTCTCTCTCAAGTAACTCGACTTTGACTCAGTTTGGCCGGCAAATGAAACTTCTCGGCCAGACAAATCAAGCCGGCATGTGGCTCTTGCATCGTGCCTTTGGCCAACGCAAGGGCCTCAAGTGCTGGCTAGATCTGGCCAGAAGCAGCCACTGCCAGAGAGAGGGAAAAGACAAGAAGAGAAGAAAAGGAAAAGGAAAAGGAAGAGAGAAAAAAAAAAAAAAGATGGGAGGAGGAGGAGGCAGAGATGAAGAAGAAGAAGATGTGAGTGCACAGAGTCAGAATCTAGAATTTAGTGAAGGAAATGGAAGAGAGAAAACAAAGAAAATGACTATTTTGACCTTTAATGGTTAAAACAAAAGAGACGGTGTTATTTTAAGGGTGGGAATCTGGAATAAATAAAACTAGGGGTAGAAACTTGCTATTTCGCTATACCTCGGGTGGGAACATGTCGTTTACTCTAACAATAATGATGGAACAAGTGATGAGGAAACGATGGATAGGTCCAAATCTTGATGAAAAGATAGGAGGTTGGTGTTCCAGATCTCAAAAAATTTTAATTCCACTCTTCTAATTGGCCACTTAGGGCTGTTCAACTAGGTGAGCCACTCGTGAGCCGACTCGGCTTGGCTTGAGTACGGCTCGTTAACGGCTCACCTCGTCTGGAATTGAGCCGAGTCGGCTCGATTAGTGAGAGAGCATAAGCCGGGCTCGAATTATTAGGGGCGTTTTAGGATTTTATTAAGTATAGGGGATTAAACTAAAATTTTTAAAACAAAAAGTTTGCAAAAATAACAAAGAACACCCCGATGTTAAAATCCCTAAAAACGACAAAAAGTTTGCGACTAAAATCCTTTCCCCTAAAACCAAACCAAACCAAGCCATTTTAGGCAAGTTGTCAGCGTCAGATTTGGTGGAGAGTGTAAGGAAACAAGGAGAAAGAAAGAAAGAAAGAAAGAAAGAGAAAATAGGAAAAAAGAAGAAAGAAGGAAAGAAAGAGAAAATAGGAGAAACATGCGTCATTAGAGAGAGAGAAAAGAAGAGAAAGCTAAGAGTAATAAGTAACAAAAGAGAAGAGGAAGAGAAAAACTTTAGAGTTGGTGGAGACTGGAGAGAGCAAGGGAAACAGGGAGAAAGAAAGAAAGAAAGGGCAAAAAAAAAAAAAAAAAAAAAAAAAGAAACGTGAGCCAATGAAGTCGGGAGAGAGAGAAAGAAGAGAAAGGAAATCAATAATAAATTAGAGGGGAAAAGAAGTGAAAGAGAAAGAGCAATAATAAATTAGAGGGGAAAAGAAGTGAAAGAGAAAGAGTAATAAATGAGATAGAGAAAATCTGCACCGAATTTTTTAAAAAAATTATATGCTTTTTACTAGCTCGCGAACCGGCTCTAACTCGGCTAGTTAAGTTGGCTTGCGAGCCAAACTAAAATCTTTTTCTCTCTTTACGAGTCAAGCCAAGTCAAGAAATTAGAGACTCAGACTCGACTCGAATTCTTCTTCCTTTTCATGAGCCGAGCTCGTTAAGCCAAAAACTCGGCTCGTTAACAACCCTATGGCCACTTACCATAGCTTCCTCCTTAAGTATTTGACCATTTTCATTTTTCAAATCCAAATCATACTTTTCAACGTCACTTTATGTTCACATTCTATAATATTCAGATTTTTTTTATAGTTTATTTAGAAAACAGTAATTTTATAGAAAACTAATTATATTCAAGACTCTTATTGTAACTAAGTTAAATTGTAAAGAATATGATTATTATAAGAAAAGATTAATAATGAAATTTAAAGGGTGTATTTTTTCTTTATGAATTTTGTGTTTTCATTTTTTATTTTTTGAAAATATTAAAAATAATTAGAAAATTTAAAAAATGAAAACAAGCTTGACATGTTAGTTTGAATATAATTTTTGAAATTACAAAAAATAATAAAATAATAAAAGATACAAAATTTATAATCCATACAACCAATAAAACTGCAAATTACCATTTATTTTGTTCATTTTGAAGTGCATGTCCTAAATGTCTTTTTTTTTTTTTCATTCGCAATTTTGTGATTAAATTATTGATTTAAAACTAAAATTTTATTTTATGAGAAAAGAGAGAGATAAATTAAACAGAAAAAAAATTGAACATCTTATTAAAATTGTCTCTCCTTATTTCTAAATTTTGTGCTTTGTGAAAATGTTAAAAAAAAAAAATATATATACAAACATTTATGGCATATTTTATGAGAGAAAAAAACATGAAAACGAAAAATGAGTGGCTTTGGATAAATGCTTTTCTACTGATTTTAATAATATTAATTTGTTAAAATTATATACAATACAAAGAGACCAGAAGTTTATATATATATTGTGAAGATTTTTGACTAATTGCAAACAATGTTTAAAACACTTATTGAAAAAAAAAATGTGAGAGAATAAAAAATGAAACTTTTCTAGAAGTATTGATTTAAAAAATAAAAAGAAAAGAAAAAACACAACAGAAACAGAAAAACCTGTCCAGACAGAATCATGCTGACAAAAATATCTCAACTTACGTGGCCCCATCTGCCCCCTCAAACACACAACTAACCACAGCTCGATTCAATTCAACTGCCGTAACTGCCAGGAAAGAGTTAATCACTTTTTTATCCCTGAGGTTTGACATAGTTTCTTCAGGTCCAGTAAAATCAGAAAAAAATCACTTCAATCCCTGTCGGTCAGACAAAGGATGTTACATTCTATTAAATGATTAAGGGCATTTTTGACCTTTTATACATGCAACTGCCTTAATGATGTAGCAGTGTTGGAAAGCGTTTGCCTTTATTTTTTTATGTTTATAGTATTTTCAAGTCAATTTACTATTTTCTTATTTTTATATTTTATCATTGAATTTTAAGAATTATAGTTAAAATTTAATAATTTGCATAGAAGGACAAAAATGTCCTTACACTATTTAATGGAATATATCACCTCTAACAGGGACTAAAGTGCTGATTTTAATGGATATAATTTATATTTTTGTCAAACCTCAGGGATGAAAATGTGATTAATTCTGCCAGGAAACAACTCAACTTTAAGTCGGTTCTTCTTCAACTTGCAACGACTGAACTCAACACTTCCAAAAATGGCTCTTTTAAACAACGCCACTCAAACAGTAGCCATGGCCGGGGAAGAAGACTCCTCGAAGCTCCAACCCCACCGCCTTTCTTCAAGATTTTTTCTCTACGGTTTGTCGGTTAAACCATCCTTAAACCCTTCTATAATCTTCTCAACTTCATTTTTTTCATTAACCAAACGAATAAATCTAATCTCAACTGAACAAAAATAAAAAAAATTCATTGAATTCATGGATAAACAAGACCAACACTATCCCAAATCTCCACCAAAAACTTCACTTGGGACTTCTTCCTCCTCCTCGTCCTCTCAATCCCACCCTGAAAACACTCAGAGCTTAATGGGGTCTCAGGCGTTTTCTCCATTTTCTATGCCGTTCTCTGACTTGGAACCATTTTCGACCTTTCCTGCAACAGCTCCAGTTGTTGATGTAGGTGTGCCTCAGCCTTTGGAGTGTTTACAGGGGAGCCCAATTCCGCCATTTTTGTCCAAGACTTTTGATCTTGTGGATGATAGGTCTCTTGATCCGATTATTTCGTGGGGGGCAAAGGGGGAGAGCTTTGTGGTTTGGGATTCTGTGGAATTCGCGAGGGTGATTCTTCCAAGGAATTTCAAACACAACAATTTCTCAAGTTTTGTCAGGCAACTTAATACTTATGTGGGTATTTCGGTAACACAGCCTTTATTGGCTGTTGTCATTTGTATGTAAATGTTTTTTTCATGTTGTTTCTCTTGTTTCTTGTTGTATATTTGTTTTCATTTTTGTTGTTTTTTTTTTTTTTTTTTTCTTTTTTTTTTTTTGGGGTTTTGTTTTTAACTCATATTTGATTTTTGTAATTGGATTTGATGTACTCACAGCGGCCAGTTGTTGTAGATGTAACTGAGGCTGATTTTGCTATATATCCTGATGTATAACTTGTAAGATTTTGGACTTTGGAGGGGGTTCTTGGTGTACTAATTGTTGTTGTAAAGAAATTTGTAAGACAGACTCTAATTGCTTGTATAATTTTGATTTGGAATGGTTTGGAAATTGTTATCAGACAGGTCAAGTTTTGGAATTTTGATTGATGTTGTGCTGAACTTATATCTAGAATTTCTATATTGTGAGTGGCATAAATGTTAGGGATGCGTAATCATTTTACGGAACAAATATGGTGGATTTTGATTTATCGGGTCATATTTAGGCCTGACTTCGTTCTTCTTACATCCATCTAAAGAATGACCTTTCCCTCTGGAGTTGGCAGTTTCATCTTATGCAGGTAGAGCTTAGAATTCAGATTCAAGTAGAGCATTTGTTATTTTCCATGTTTATTCAGCTTTCCATATATTAAAATCTACCTGCTTAATCTGATGATTTGAAAATCTGGTTTTATGATATACAGATTATCTTAGTGGTGAAGTTCTGCTTCCTCTTTAACTGAAATCTGACAGCTTCAAATTTTTGTTTTCTTTTGAACTTAATTATTTTGCATGTCTTTGTATTATCATTTTGTTTGGAAACTTCATTTCTCGCCCACTCATTTTTTAATCTCTTTGGGTACTGTATTCAGGGGTTCCGCAAGATTGATACTGATAGGTGGGAATTCGCAAATGAAGCTTTCCAGCGTGGGAAGAGGCATCTTTTGAAGAACATTCAGAGGCGCAAGATGCCTCAATCCCAACAGATTGGGAGCTATACTGGACCTTCTGCTGAAGCTGTAACGCCTGGAATGAAAGATGATATAGAGAAATTGAGGAAGGAGAGGTGTATGTTAGTGCAGGAAGTTGTAGAACTGCAGCAGCAGCATCGTGGGACTGCTTCCCATGTTGAAGCCGTTAATCAGAGGCTTCAGGCAGCAGAGCAAAGACAGAAGCATATGGTTTCATTCTTAGCCAAGTTGCTTCAGAATCCTGCATTCTTAGCCTGTCTTCAGCAGAAGAAGGAAAAAGGAGATATTGATTCTTCAAGGATGAGGAGGAAATTTGTCAGTCACCAGCCACATGGACCTAGTAAACCAGCTTCATCCGTGGAAGGGCAGATTGTGAAGTATAGACCTGATTGGAGAAACCTCAACATACCTTCTGTTGTCCCAGAAATTGATCCAGCTCCTGTTGAACATTCTCCTGATTATCTCTTAGAAGATGTGGTGGGGATAGGATCAGGCACAGAAAGTATGCCGTTTCACTTTGAAAATGTTAGACCACTTGACTTTGCTGTTTCAGACAAGTTAGCAGTGGAGCAAGGATTTACCAAAGCCCCAGAGCAGTTGGGAGAAGAAACTTTAAGATTGGGAAGTGTGGATCCTAGTGCTAAAGGAAAGAGTGTGATGAGCCCACAACATGAAGTTAGCCCTGAGTATTTTCTCTCTTTCCCAGAGAATTTGGAGAAGGGAAAGAATATTCCGGAATACTCATCTCCTGGGATGGAAAGCATCATCAAACAAGAGGATATATGGAGCATGGGATTTGATGTCACTTCTGGTATGTCTAGTTCTAGCAATGAATTATTGGGCAATCTTGCCAACTGTGATATGCCAGAGTTGGGAATGTTGAGCGGGCTATCTGATATCTGGGATTTGAATTCATTGCAAGCAGCAGTACTTACTGATCTGTGGTCGGCTGATGAACCTGAGAATCTAGTTGGCCGGCAAAAAGATGATAGGCCTAAGGACATGGATCCATAGGCCTCTTTTTGCTTTGACACTTGCTGGCCTTCTAGATATTAGCTGTAGTTGATGAAGTCTATTAATGGACAATTTATTTAGAAATATATTCAATGAAACTTCATATTTCATTCATTCTATTACCAGTTTCCATTACTCTTTTTAACTTTGAGTTCCTAGTTTAAGTTCAGTAGCCTAGCTTTGGTTATTGTGGAGTTATTTTCTCTCATTCAGTGGTTTTTTTTCTTTTATGTCATCGTGTTGCCTTTGCTTGGTTCTCTTTCTGACAGATACTTTTGAGTTATGTATGCTGCAGGTTTAACCTGTGAGAGGAGCATCTCTCCATCGGATTCAATGGCGTATTTTGAATTGTCCTTCCTGCAGCTGTAGTGTCGGTAAGATAAGACAACTTGGTTTATTTATATTGTTCAATTTGACTGGCTCATTTTAGATATTGATTTATCGCCACTCAGTAATCATTAGAGGTACATACAGGTGCAATACGAACTTTAAAGAATCCAGCATTATCAATAGCCTTGACAGTTAAAAGCTAGATATTACTCTTTGTTATTAGATGCATATTTTTCTAGTTATTATTGTTGCTTGCAGAATTTTCATTTGATCTTAAGAAAGCTAGACAAGTAGTCATCCTTCGTAGATTTGACATTTATTGTTATTATTCATGGAGAATTTTCAAGTAGTTATTATTGTTGCATATTTTTCTATATATATATATATACACCTCTCTCTAGTACATTTTCTATTGAAGGACAAAAGGGTTTAGGGTTTAAAGTTTAGTCCAATAGGATGTGAGGCAATGTAACTGAGAGATCTTCATAATCTTTAGGCTGGAGAAAAGCAATTCCAGTGCGTACTATATGTGAGATGCTTGTAGTTTGGATCAAATTGTTAATGCGACACTGTAAGTTCTAATTGTGGAGAAGTTATATTCATCTATCACCCTAGAGGTTTTTATATGTTTTTATTAACACTTTTTTTGGGCATAAGTTTAATTATTTGTACTAGAAAACATGATTTTGTAGCTGTTGTTGCTAAATTAGGTGCAATGGGCAACTTTATGAAAGTTTACTGACGCATGTCTGGGAATCATTCTTTGTTAGAATTCCCATAGGAGCTTTTTGGCCATGTTGGATTTGATATTTTTTTTCGAGTATTCTCGTATTGTGTACTTCCTTGAGTGTGTCAATCTTAATAAATTGGAGGAAATTTCTGAATTTGCTGTAGGCAAGCGGATGCCGAGTTTGAAACTCAGGATTATCGGCAACCCAAGAACCAATTGGCATTTCATATAATCTGATTCACCAATTGTCTATAGTTCTACTCCCGATCAGGTAGTATTCATCGTGTTAAGAGAAGGCGAAGTATTCATTATGTTAAGAGAAGGCGTAGTTTGTATACTAGGTCTATAAGTATGACGCCAAACTTTTGCATTATGTTTGCCTGAATGTATATGTGTATCAACTTATATTTTCACAGTTATGTGCTGTTATCCGAAGCTCCTTTTGTTCAAGTTGGCTCATTGTTGGGTGAACATTTTGGATATCAATTCGTACTCTGTGTTTTTTTAATCTGACCTGATGCACTTAGTTTGCATCAACATATAACATAGAGATTTCTGAACCACCCAATTTCTACAGGATAAGATACACAATTTTTTGATATGGGTTGAATGAATGAACCAAAGCATCTTTTTATGGAAAATTAGTAGTGGCTGCATATAGTAGAATGTCAACTCTAGAACGAGAACGTTTGTACTCAGTATTCACTACCATGACCAGAAAATAATTTTGAATCTTTCGTATTTTCAGGTTTCAAACTTTCAACACCAAGTCCAGATTGTACATAATTCAGTTGTGACAAGTCAGTCAGTCAGCACCTTAAGCAGATTACAATGAATTGAATTCCCAAAATTTACAGCACCACCCTCGTCACTGGAGTTGGATGATTAGACAATATTAAACTTGGTCAATGTTCTCTTTAAAATTACTTCCCCGGCAAACTTGACGTACTTCATAAATTCTTATAAAATGCAAAGAGTCGGGAACGACTAATAAGGTCCTGAAATGCTAGAACAACAAATTAAAATGGGAATTATGCAGTCCCACATATCCGTAGAAGGGCTTCAACAGCAAGAGGGAAATCTAACTTGACAAAATTGCTTGAGCCAAAATAATCAGAATAAAAGGAGACTGTTGCTTATGTTCCTCTATGATTGAGGAAAAATATAACAATAACCCAAAAAAAAACCACTAAATTGCTCAATAATAATTCATGCTACAAAATTTCCTGAATAAATTTCATATGCAAGTGATCTATAAATTATGGGCATGAAAAAATATCTCATGCCCTCTTATATCTACTTCACCCTTTGACTTAAAATAAAATTGCATTGGCTAAGGCAAAATTACAGCATAAAAAGTTAACATTGCAATGGTGTCAAAAGAATTACATAGAATCTTCCTTCTGCTTTTTTGATGCATGCTCATTAGGATCATTTTTCCTTTTTCCCTCACGACGCTCTCTTTTTACTCCTTTTGATTTGTTTGGTAATGCCATATCTCCAAGCTGAAAGCAGCAAAACCATTAATAAGTGAAGATTGATAATAATACATAAGATAAATACATGATAAAAATAAAGCAATCACACAAACAAAAAATGGATGACAGGAACCAAACGAAAGACTTAAGAGAGGAATAAGGCACAATTAGACATGGCTAATCATGAATCTCAATTACAAAAAATGAGGCTACGTACCCAGCAATAAAACCCTATGTTCAACCAATGACCATCCTTTACTCAACCCAAGTTGATGACTGATGTAATCATATAATATAATTAAAGGAGCAATTGTTTTCTTACCTTCTGGTCGGGAATATAAATCTTTCCGATCTTTCCTTGTATTGAATCGTGACTAACATTTTTCACCTGCAATCAACAGAAAGATTTACCAATTAGTGACTTGTCTCTTCAGTCTCATCAGTAAGAGATAGATGCTATACAAAGAAACAACTGTGTAAACCTTCTTCTTAGGCTGATCTTTAGCTGTTTTCATGGCTTCTTTACGTAGACTATCATTAGGAAGACGATGCCGACGAACAATCAAATCCATGGAGGGGCCTATTTCTACCAGTTCCATTCTTGGGACAATCGTACCCGACTTTTTTAGCCGCAGGGCACAGTGAGTAAAAAATACCCTATTTGAAGATGATGCTGTACATACATAAGCACGGTCCACCCCAGCAAGATTTAAGTTCTCAATGACCTGCATTAATCAGATTCATCTTCATATTACTATTCTTTTTCATCCAAATAAAAATATCAAAATGTCAAGTGCGGCAGAGACACACCTCCCCACGCAAAAGATCAACCAAAACATCCTTCAAATGCTTTAGCTCTTCCACACTTTCAAACCCTTCTCCAATAAAACAAACGAAGGGTTTTGACCCCACCTGCGGAGCTAGTTTCTTATCAAATGTAAATGAGTTCATGGGTTTAAAGTTTTCAACCCCAACCTCCACAAGGTCATAGATGTGGTGATCATAAGTTCGTCCTATAACAAGATTGTCAGGCCGCTTCTTTGAGGTTGAACCATACTGCAAAAGAAAGAGCATGTTATATATCTCAGTAGCAAAATTACCAATTAAAGGTGAACAGGAATAGAGAAAAAAAGTTTGCAGGATAAAAGGGATATTATGATAATTCTTTTCTAATATCTGACTTATCCTCTCATTAACAGAATGATAGAACATCTTCTGGTAAGCTAATCAGGCAGTCCATCAGAAATAAGTTGAGAAATGATAAACATTGGCTTTTCAAAAATCCTAAATGGAGAAAATATGCTTTCACCATGATCATCACCCCACCCAAGACAAGAATAAACCACAGTCAGAACAATAGTACTACACTTACAAAGATTTCATACAAAATGAGGTGGCAAAAAATGAATGAAAGAGTGAATACAAAAAATCAAAACTCATTATATTCACTCTTCCATTCATTTTTTACCACATTACTTTGTATGGAAATCTTTGTAAGTATAGTATTACTCCAGTCAGAATGCTGAAAACAGTTTTTCTTAACTAAAATCTGTTTTTCTATTTAGACCTCCCCCTCTCATAACCAGTTAATTCAAAACCGAGGCACTGGCAAAATTAGAATAACATTATCTCAGTAACCAAGTTCAATCTCATTTCAATTCACATAGAAAACTAACACAAAAGCAAATACTAAACCGAAAGCTCATTTAACATGAAATATGCTTGAGTAGGAGCTGCATAAAAAAATAAATAAAAAAATAAACCAAGCACGTTTTACGATAAACTACAATCAATATTTGCCACATAAAAAGTTTTTTTTTTTTTAAATCACTTGAATACCTTCTTACTTATTAAAAGAACACTAAAAAAAAAATAAAAAAAAAAGAACAAGCATCTAGGCGAAATTGGGTTGCATTTTGATTTTGAACTTACAACGAAGATGCTGCAATCAGTTTTGAGGGAAAAGAACTCCAAAGAAGTTTCCCCACCACTTTCAAACGGTCTAATGTTCTCATTCTTTCGGGTATATCTCACTGCACTTCCTTTCTTCAGAAGATAAAGCTCCGTTAATACAGCATTTAGAGTGTTACTCGTCTTTGTACCTTGCAGTAAAAGCGTCTTCTTCCCAGTTTCAACCTGCAAACAAACATTATTTAATAATAAAAAAAAAACCCGTTTATATTTCAATCAAACAAACACAACCCATGTGGCAAAATTAATTTTTTTCGAGCTTACAAGCTTTGGAGCACGTTTCTCAAGCTCACGCTTCACTCTGCCTTTCTTGGGAGTTTTTATTTTCAACATAATTTTTCCTACAAAAAGAAATCAGAAGATGAAGTTAATTTCTTTTCATAATTTATAGTTAAATTGAAGCAAGAAACAGATAGAGTGACAACATACTTGAGGCGGCAACGAGTAACAGAGCTTCGAATGGCGGTTTTAGTTGCAGGGAGGTTAGGGTTTTTCTGCTTAGCTGGTTAACAAAGCAAGTTTTAGGTCACGTTGACACTAATATCGGGCTTCAGCTGTCTGGGCTGGGCTTTCGGTCCGAAGGATTGAGAGTGGCGCCATTTTGACCCACTCATCACTTAAAAAAAAAAATTTATTATTAATTTTTTTAATTATAAATCTATCTTTTTAATTTGAAAAATTAAGCTATATATTTTTAAGTTCATGAAGAGAGTTTATGATACTAAAGAGCTACTATATCGTTCGTATAAAAACAAATGAGTTTGTGATACATAGATATTCTTTTTTGAAAACAGTTATTCATATTACTTTTGTTATGATAGATGAGATAAAAAACAATATATATATGAAATAAATTTATTAATTAATTGTACTGTTTATGTCTCGATCTAGGGGCGGATCCACGGTATAGAGCGATGGCAACATGCCCCTCTTGAAATTTTAGAAATAAGAAATTATCCATAGGATTTCTAAGCTACTAACAATTGTGCCCCCAAAAAATTTGATTAATTCCTTGAAATTTAGACTTAACTATATTGTACCCATAAATTCCTAATGTAGAGAGATTTTATCTAACTTTTCCTTCTTAAATTGGGATTTGTTTAATTTCTTCCCTTTTAAATTCATATTTTCTTTATATTAAGAATGATGTTATGCCAACAACGCATGTTCATAAACTTATCTTACAACCCCAACGTGACAACTGACTTGACACTATCACGTTAGTTCCACCACACCGAAGGCGTAAAATAATTTTGACTAGACCAAAAAATGTTTCTTCATAGGGAACAACCGTTCCTTATAAATAAATGACCATTTCTCACAAAAGGAATGGTTGTTCCTTATGAAGGAACAACAATTCCTTATGTAAGGAATAGTAAAAGGAATGGTTGTTAAGGAACAAGGTTGTTCCAAGAAGAAGAAGAATAAGAAGGAAAAAGAAGAAGAAAAAGAACGAAATTGAAGAAATGAATTGATAGGAGAGAAACAAGGTAAGGAACAACCATGGTTGTTCCTTCAAGAACAAGATTGTTCCTTCTGAAGGAATGACCGTTTGTTTCTCGTAATGTCTTGGGTGCCTTGGGTGTGGTGGGAGTTGACGTGACAATTCTAATCTGTTGACAGGTTGGTTTTTAGAGAAGATTGTGAGATTATGTTGTAAACGTAACATATTTCTTATATTAATCACAATTCTCATTCACTATTTTTTCTTAGTTAAATTCTATTTGCAATCAATTAATTGAAACCTCAATTGTTAGAAATATTAGACCATCACATGATGTGCATTGACTTGAATAAGTGTATAGCTCGTACCCACAATTTATGCCTTACAGTTTGTGAACATTTCTTGCCTTGTATTGTTGCGTATATTTACATTCTTTGTATAGCCTCTGAATGGATGTATATATTGTTTCAATGAGAAAGATTAACCTTTCACAAATATTTTATATGATATTAGAGCTATTTTGCTCCACCAAGTAACTTTCCCATATTTGGAACTCTCATCTTCTTTTACCACCATGGATGAAGAAGTCTTAGAGAGTGCAACCTGCAAGGTAATTCACCACAGGCATTATTCTTGAAAACGTTATAGTATAAATTAGTGTGGTTGCTCAGCTCCCAATCAAACTTACAGGCTTGAACAACCATCGACTGTGGAGAGCACAATTTCACACTCTTCTGTATGGTTATGATCTACTTGGCTTCAATATGGCACACTCCCTTGTTCCCCCCAAGAAAATCAATCAAAAGGACCAGCATATTACCAATCCAAAATATAAACTCTGGACTCATCAAGACAACCTTTTCATGCCATGTTGCCTCAGTTTCCGAATCCATTATTTCTCTTGTTGCTTTATCACAAGAGTAATGATCCCGACTCAATCACTTGTATGCTTGATGAGTGTCAAAAATGTATGTATATTTAGTGATTTGGTAGATAGATTGTAGGGAATTCATGGTTGTAATGTATATTACTTTGGTATGAATCTCTTTAAATATTTCTATTTTCAAGAATCACAGGTATGTGTGTGAGTTTCAGGAATTTAGGCGCGAAAATGGTGATTTCATACTTGCAATGATGATCAGACAATTTGGGACATATTGGAGTGCAAGTCGAGTCAAGACTTAGAAGACAAATGTGGAATTTCAAAATGGTGTTATGGCAGAGTTTTTTGCGCTGCGGTGCGCTAAGGAGAGGTCTAGCATGAATTTAGACAGAAGGTTCATGTTGTGGTGTGATATATTTTGCGCCATGGCATGACAGAGTTTTTAGCAAAGAAGATTTGGGGAAGAATTTGGCGCTGCGGCACCATAAAAGTTCATTGCGGTGCAAATCGTGCAAAAAGGGAAAATAATGCCTTTTCCAACTTCGACTGGGTGTAGTTTTATTCCAAAAACGTCCTTAGTGGTCTGAAATTATAAATACGACTTTGTAATTTTATTTTAGGGGATCTTTCTTATTGATTTAAGAGAGAGTTTTTCAAGGAAACAAAAGGGGATTCTTCTTAGGGTGGGTAATCATCTCTTTGATCTTCATGCTTATGGGGAATTTGAGGTTTGCTTTCTTGATGATTATTTGTAACTAAACTCTCTACTAGGGATCCAACGTATCCTAATTTGAAGGCTTTATATTTTAATCAAAGCTATATGTTTATCAATTCAATTGTCTCCTAGATTCATTCACTGTACTTTATTCAATCATTAATTATCATTATTGTGTGACGACCCTTAATGTGGATTAATAGATTGTATGAGTTAAGATTAGACAGACGTCATATGCTAGTCTTAAATAGTTATGTGAATGAATGATTTGTATTTGTGCATACGCCTTGACATATGCACACTGGTTCTTGATTTCTAATGCTTGTGATCTTACACTATAAGAAATTTAAACTTCGTTGAGTTCTATCTTCCTCCCACTACTTCTTCTTTGAACAAATTCCTTCTCCAAGAAGACCTTAGGCTATGTTTGGTTAGGGTTGTGGGTAGATAACTCATGTTATCTATCTTTGATTCCAAACATTCCTGTGTTTGGTTTGACAATAATATAAGATTACGGGAATGTTTCATTTCAAGTAGTGAATACTGTTGGTCATTTTGGGGGTTATCAGATTACCTAGTCTAGGGGTGTTAATCTTTTTTTACCAGGGTTATCTTTTTTTTTTTTTTTTTTAACCAAATTTGCCCTTAAATTAAAGCCCTTTTGGACTGAATTACCCTTAAATGTCTACCAAATAACAGTTACCTAGATTCCCTATATTTGAGAATTTATCTAAAACACCCCAACCACAAAAAGTTTAAAAATTAACAAAATACCCCCAGCCATCAAAGACCACTACCTGCTACCTGCCACCACTGCGGACCACTGCAATAGTCGCCAGATCGATGCACAATCGACAAGATTTGGCCGGTTGTGCACCGATCTAGCTATTTTTGGCCATATCGAAGGTTGAAAATGGCCAGATCGTTATGGATCTAGCTGTTTTTGGCCTTCAAGGGATCTAGTCGGCCAGATCCACGACAATTTATTTATTTTCGGCCTTTGATCTGGCCGAAAATAGCCAAAAACGGCGCATGATCAGCCAAATCTTGCTGATCATGTGCCGTTTCAGTTACTATAGCCAAAAGTCGACGGTGGTGGCCGGCGATCGAAGGTGGTCTTAGGTGGCTGGGGGTATTTTGTTAAAATTTAAACTTTGTTGTTGAGTGATTTAGTTAAATTCTCAAATATAAGGGGTTAAAAATAATTTATTTAAATAATGATAATAATAGTAATAATAATAATATTATGATATTAAAAAGGAAGGGCAATTCAGTAAAAGCCTCTGTCAATAATATTTTATTCTTCCCAACCAAACATATTAATTATTTATATCCACTAATCTAACCAAACATATTGATATAACATTCCCCCATAATCTTCAAGGTAATCTATTTCACTAGTAACCTGCATTTTCAGTAATAAAACATTCCCCGAACCAAACAGACCCTTAGTACAAGTAACAAATACTTTGTGCTCTTTTGAATGGTTGAAGTAGTATCATTTTGTTTCCTTGGGATACCCTACAAAGATACATTTTTTAGATTTTGAGGCAAGCTTATTTGATGTCAATTTCTTGACATAAGCTTCGCAACCCCAAATTCTCAAATAAGACAATGTGGATTTGCGCCCACACCATAATTCATATGAAGTCTTATTCACAGACTTTGACGGCACACGATTTAGTGTGTGAGTTGCAACCTCTAGGGCATATCCCCAAAACGATGCAGGTAGATCAGTAAAACTTATCATGGATCGAACCATATCAAGCAAGGTTTGATTCCTCCTTTTAGACACACCATTATGCATACGGAGGCGTGAGTTGTGAAACTGTCCCACATTCTTTTAGGAATTCACCAAACTCTGAGCTTAAGTATTCTCCTCCTCGATTAGACCAAATAACTTTAATACTTTTGACCAGTTGATTTTATACTTCATTCCTGAATTCTTTGAACTTGTCAAAGGATTTAGATTTATGTCTCATTAAATAGACATAACCATATTTATTGAAATCATCAATAAATGTGATGAAGTAAGAATAACCACCTTTGGCTTGAATTGTTAATATAACCACATTTGGCTTGAACTGTTAATGGTCCACATACGTCACTATGGATGATGCCTAACAGTTCTATAGCTCTTTCACTGTGTCTAGTGAAAGGTGATTTGGTCATTTTGCCTAATAGGCATGGCTCGCATGCCTGATAAGTCTGGAATCAAATGGGTCCAAAACTCCTTCTTTGTGGAGCTTTGCAATACGAGTTTGATTCACATGACCTAATCTACAATGCCAAAGGTAAGTTTGGTTTAGATCGCCATGTTTGGCATTCTTGTTTTCAAGATTAAGAACTTGGTTATTATTTAATTCTAGAACATGTAGGCCATTGTGTAAACAAACAATTCTATGAAGTATAGCATTTAAACTGAAAGACATCAATCCATTAGCAATTGAAA